CTATTGAAAAGATGAATTCTTATGACTGAATGACAATCGGACCACCCAGATTTATTTCAGTGTGGCTCATTTTATATTTTCATAAAAGGACAGAACTAGTACATGGCAGACCAAGGTGTCTTTTTGAATTAAAAATGTTCAACTGTCTGTTTGGTGTTTTGCTCTCTGATATGCGTGACAAGAAGATGTTCATCTGGAGATCTTCATGTCCGTTGGGCCTCTGAGCTGTTACGCGTCCTTCTGCAGAGCTCCTGAGATCATTCTCCATCTGTGGGGCTCTAACCATATAAGCAAACACAAACATTCATCAGTATAACCAGGACCTCCAGATGTGTCCTACATACATCAGTGTCCTTCATTTACATACAGTCAAGCATTACCTATATTCTAAAGTAAAAGTTATATGCATGTAACACAACTTTACACTATTCTATGTCTTAGTATACTATGATGTTTTTATGCCTTCTTATACTTTTCCTATATACTATATCCTATGAGCTTTTTATGCCTTACTATACAATACCGTTTTTATGCCTTTTTATGCCTTACTCTACTACAACGTTTTTATGCCTTACTACTATCAATAATATAAACAGACATACTAAAATATATTTTTCTTTTAGCTAGACATATATGTCACTATGTGATCATTTTCCAATTTCTAGCCGGTTTCAGATGTAATTTTTACATAAGCTATACTTTAAATACATATATGGAAATTCAAAACGTGTACATATATAACATTTGTGTATGTGCCATTCCTGAATGTAAATTCAGATCTTATATGTTATTAAACTGTTTGGTTGACTGCATTAAAAAGTCAGTCTCTTTGTTTTGGAGGGGTGGCGGGGTTGTTGCTTCCTTACCACTGTTGAGACCAAACCTACGCCCTTGACCCTCAGAAAGCCATTTAAACTTGTCGGGTCCAGCATTTTGGTCCCCACAACTATAGCGTACTCTCTGTTTTGAGGACCACACAATTAAAAAAGGGTTACACTGGTGTATTTGGGGCACTAAGATGTGGTATTTTAAATAACTGCCTTCAGAGTGAGTCAAAACACTTAGGCTTTTAGCAGGTCAGAGGTGTGCCTGTCCATATGCCTGCATATTTGAGTATTCACTCAGCTCTTTGTTTTGATCTCAGGAATGGCATTGCATTAGTAATAGCACTGACTGCTCTCTCCCTGCTTTTAGCTCTAGTGATTTCCAGAGAGTAGAGAGAGACAGGCAGAGAATTACAAAGAGAGGGAAGCAAAAGGAAGAAAAGATAATTGTGCTCCAGAAAGGAAGTCAAAAAAAAAGGTACATTATAAAGATAAATAAGAATAAAGCATGTCAATAAAGTTAATCTACACATTTTTGAATTATTAAAAATTTCATTAAGATGCTTTAATTTTGCATAATATTAAATATAATAATAATAATAATTATTGTTATTATTATTACTATTACTATACATGTAGAAAATCCACTAAAAGTTGAACTAGGGTCATTTGGTGCAGCACAGAGAACGTGATAATAATTTACATGCACGTGTTCCACAAGTTCCCTTAGATTTATGCAGTTGCTCACCATCAACATGACTGCTTGAGTAAGTGAAGATTTTAGAGATCAAGGCAAGATGTTTCAGTAGAGTAATTTTTTAACATGATGCCCGTTTTTGGAAGAGACTGTTGGTTGCGCAACATCCTGCAGTTAAAATCCACTCACTCTGAACTAATCCCACATGGTGCCTACAGAGCTGCACACACAGATTGCCATCATCATTGGCAACATCTTGAGCAGCAGGACTTGGCCTGCCTGCAAATACAGGGATGCTTAACCAACAAACTGTTTTGTTATGACAAAGTCAAACAAGCGTAATTGGACACGTTCTTTTGCATTTACAAGCACACACAGTAGACACCCACACGAGACAAGTTGTCTGTTCATCGAGGATGCAGAAATAACTGAAGTGTTTGAGTGTTTAATCCTTCCAAAATACAATTATCTCCTCCCATTCCACCATCCATTCTCTCCTTTCCCTTTATAGCTACAATTGTGATGAAATCCTGTTCTCAATCTCTCATGCTGCACCCTTCGGTCCAGATTACTTTAATCTGTATGTGCACAGGTGGAGGAGTGACAGAATCAGTGTGTGCCTATGCTGTCATGTTTGTTTTAGGTTAAAATGGCTGAGTCTTTCCCTACGCAGGCCGTATTTAACATCACTGTAGAGTGTAGTGTGCAGCTGCAGAACTGCATGTTAGCTGGGGTGTAGTTTAACAGTAGATATACTGAAAGATTACATCATCAGGTTTTAGTAAATAAAGTGTGAATTGCAGAGGTGAGAATGAGGAAACAGCTGCCACCCACATACATCAAAAATGGAATTGGTTTCTTACCCATTACTTGGTTATTAAGAAAAATGTTATGTTATGATTATACCCTCTAATCTAATACATGAAATATACATTCACTGTCATGTATAATTATTTTATAATAGCTAAATTAAAAGGATTGTAAAAATATAAAAATCTTTATTTTGGACTCCAATCAGAGCTTTACATCCTCTCTTTCTTCTCTGTCCTGGGCTAGCGCCCACTCGATATGGTTCAATATTTCGCTCACATTTCCGCTTTATGTACTGCTGATATGGTGATAGGAAGAGGATGTTTATGGGCATCCAAGGTATTAGTCTAGACACACACACTCATCAAAGACTGGATGTGTGTGTAAGATCAATGGTAAATACAGACTACATCAAGTAACTTCTAGAGGCCTGAAAAAAGGGAGACCTCTTTGAAACATTGGGAGCTTATTGGAAACACTAAATAATAAATAATGTGTCAGACACAGTCCAGATATTTTGTAAAATTGTATTATTTTTTATTATTATCATATAATTTATTATTTCTATACATAAGCATCGAGGACAATGAGAAATGTTATGAGAAAATGCTGCACTTCTGGGATTCTGCAGCAGCAGTCCTGTTGTTCAACACAGAGTAACCTTCATAGCTGCTACGGCTATTATTATATAAATTGCATGTACCATGTTATATATCACATGTAGCAGGCAACTGGATGACAGGTCCACAAGCATAATTTACCCCCAGTATGAATTGTGCAGCGTGAGTTGTATGTAGAAAAACCTAGTATTGTGTTTGCGTACGTGTGCAGGGTTAGAATGAATTACTGGTGACCATTTTGTTGCTGTAAAAATGATAAATTACCCTTGGAGACATGTACTGGAGAGAGAGCAAGAGTGAGATTAATTGTTAGTCTTAGGCTTTGCATATGCATTGTAACAGAACCTCAGGAGCACATCACAACCATAACTCACATCAGCCAGAACAAAAAAAGAAAATAGACACTACATCACAAGAGCTCCTAAAATAGAGAGGAATTCTACTAAATTATTCAGCCCTGGCCAGTATCCCTTTTACAGCTCAGATCAGAAAAGTATCTGCATCCACTCTCACACACCCCCACACACTCTTACTGTTAAAAACTAAGACAATTCAGCCTCCATTTGAGCAGAGCTGCTTCAGCAAACAGCTCTGCTAAACTGAGGAGACAGGACCTGGGTAAAAACTGCACCACTTTCTTCTCTTCCGAGACGGGGGACAGATGGTGATGATGGTGCTGGTTTTTCCGCTGTTCTGTAATCAATATCAGTAGATTCTTTCTGCTGCTGCAGGCTGACTCAGTCAGTCTGTATGTATATATATGTGTGTGTGTGTGTGTGTGTGTGTGTGCGCAAGAGCAGGAAGTCATTCATTGCAGTGTGAGTTACTGGCACGATGACGTCAGAGTGCAGGGAACAGAGCCCAGTGGGAATATATCAAAGTATGAACATGTGTCCGTGTATAAATAAGTTAAGACTGCATCTCTCTCTATGGATGGTGCATAATTTTAGCACAAAGCATGTCAGGACAAAGCAGACGCAGCAGTTACTGTGTGACTGTTATGTAAGTGAGCGTGGCTGTGCATACAGAGAGACACAGCAGCAGGTAGAGGTATGTGGTGATACTACAAGTTAATACTGTAAAGCAGAATCTGCTGTAACGGTTCATTGTTGTGGGAGTGTTTGCTGGAAGGAGAGAAAGAACATGAGGAGGAGGAGATGGATAAGATGACAGTTTCAATGCTACAGGCAAGAAGAGACAGATGGAGAGGCGCTGAAGCAGAAAGTCATTTACATGCAGATATTGTAATCTGTCACTGCATGCATGTATAAATATAAATCAATTTACATTAACAAGAATTTACTCAACAGATGTAGACTCCTTCCTGTACTTTTTTATCAAAGGAACAAAATGTGCAGTAGTTGTGTGTAGCTGGGTTTTTTTTTTTTTTTTTTAAAAAAGGGGGAGTAATTTTTTTCTTTTCATAGATAGGTTACCACATTTAAAGGAAAAATATAAAACAGTGGTTGAATGAACAGTAAAGAAGAGACTGCTGCATCAGTCGTGATAAGAACTTAGTGCTTTGACAGAAAAGCATTTAAGTAGGTGGGCACGGATTCATTTTAGTGTTACATGAAAACAAGTTTGCACTTTGTCTCCCTCCAGTGACCAGCAGAGGAAACACACCAGGCTGTGGGCCAACAAGAAGGCAGGAGTTGAAGCTCAGATTAACAGGCACATAAGGGGGATGAACCAGTCCACTACCAGTGCTGATAACTTAACTTGGGTTCATTTTTCTGGAATAAAATTAGTCTGCAAATTGCAGTCACTAAATTAATTTATTAGATGGTGGACTTTACAATGAGAGTTGATAACTGATATCTATTGACTAATGTCATAGCCAATACCCAATCCACTTAACAAGGTCAACATGATTGCGGATACCAATACAATGTATCGAACTATACATCCTGAGAACATAAACAATCAATCAACAATCATTAACTTAGACCGGGCCTACAAGAAGGAAAGTCATGGAGCCATAGTCATGTCACAGAGTAAATGGGAAAACGTTTTCATTCATAATAGTCGTACTCCTCAGCCTGTAGTAAAATGTCCTCTGTGGCTTTAGAGAAATTGTTAACAGAAAGCCTTTGTGATATGTTTAGGTTGTGGAGTTTGAAGGATGGAGGTGTTCTTGGTGCTCTTGATGCTATTGTTTGGATTATGGGAAATGTAGGATCCAGCACTTTTGGATCAAATCTGTCAATTGTGAGTCCCCTAACTCTATGGAAGTGTAATATTAATAATCACTGGAGTCCTCATTTAAGACACAACTAAAACAGAACGAGAGAGACAGTTTGTCGTAGCAACTGAATTTTTTAATATTTGTAAGATATAAAAATCTTCATCTTTATCATACAATAACATCTTACCATAAATTTAGTCAAAGGAGGGAGAGTTTTGCCACCAAACAAGAATTATAATATAACTTTGATCCCTTTTGAGGTAAGACAGCTGGTTCATAGATTATCTAGCCACACAGGTCTTCTCTTCTACACGTGCGGAGTATCTTCTGGCTGCTTGGTTTGTTTTCACACGTTTTCCATGTAAGACATTCTGCCTCACCTGTAGGCCTAGGCACTGAGCTGAAAGCAGGACCTACCCTATGAAGCTACTTACAATGACGCACACTTTTACTATTCTTCAGGGTGTCTCGAATTCAGTGTTCATAAAAATGAAAACAAGTCAGCCAATTAACAGCATGAATGGAAATTCAAAGATCATGAATGGAAAAAAAAAAAAAGTTCAACACAATACTGGTGAAGATACTCCACACCGAGAGTAGGTCTGTGTGATATTAACAACCAGTGACTTGACAGAGAATTTAAGGGGGAGAGAGAGGCTGCCTCTGAGAGCTCGATTCCATAAAGACAACAGCCAGCCTTTCCTCCTTACACTTTGAAAACAGAAGAAGAGACCTGTATGGCGTTACGTCCACAGACTGTGATGTGCTCAGCATGTCTTTCACTATTTTAAATTACCACTTTCTTTGGACAAAAAGAAAAAAAACAAATCAACAACAAAAGCAGCCAACACAGGAAACAGCATCCGATATGCATTATCCAAGAAACACAGTGGAAAAAAAAAAAAAAAAAAGAAACTGGAAAAAACAGGAAAACAAAGCAGATATAGAATTTTAACATGCCACATTGTTCCTTGGGCAAGTTTTCTTTCACAGAAAGCCACCTATTTTACTAGTTTTTGTAGTAATAAAAATAACAGACATCTCAAATGGTTGCCAGCAGATGGACCAAGCAGAGAAAGAGGGAGAGGAGAGAAACGAGGAAGCCACATGACATCATCACGTCACCGGACCATGCACATGACCCTGCAGCATCCAGCGAGACAGAACATAAACTCACACACACACCCACACTGCAAGTCATGCAACTGACACCCCCCCTCCACACACACACACACACACACACGCGCACACACACACACACACACTCGCTCTCTGTAAAACAAAATACAAGCATAGATTGACATTGACCAAAACATCAGCATTTGACATTTTCCAGAATCCCCATATTCTGGCTGTACCAAAGCCAAAGAGGCATTTATGGCAGAAATGTTTCATATTCATATTAATAATGCTCTTTCAAAAACATTTAACAGCAGTTGGACAGTACTGTGGTTTTGTGCTGTCGGCACAGGTTGATTTGGCAGCACAACCGGTAATATAAAGCTCATCAACTTTACAAAAATAACAGGGAGACGGACAACGAAACAGGCAGACAGACAGGCGTGCAGCAAGCTGAATGACAACCGGTTACAGCAACGATGAGGAGAGAAAACTTTCTTTGTCACAATCGAAAACGTGGCTGCATCCACTCTGTGGCAGGTCATGCACAAACACACTCTCTCACACACACACACTCAATCACACGTACAGCCACACGGCACTAATACATCAAAGAAAACCTGCACCCATATTTTTCTTTCCTTTTTTTTTTTTTGCCCTCATCGCTCCCATCCATCTTCACGATCTTTTCCTAGTCCAAGGAGACTAACAGGCTAACAGCAGCTTGACGAGCCCAAACAAGGATGATAGCAAGAGCAGGACAACTGAGGTCACAAGAATGGGGGGGGGCAGGACCACAGTCAGTGTTCCTTGGCTGGTAGTGACGAGTGGACAGTGAGTCCCCGAGCAAGATGACCGGGTGGTTTGGAGCCAGGAGGTGCGGTTTTGGTCGGTCTCCAGTGAGATGACTGGTTGTTTTGAGTCTCTACAGGGAGGTGGAGGGAAGCTTCTTGACACGCCTCTGGGCTAGGAAAGAGCTCTCGATGGGTTTGAGCTCCGGAGTTGGTTGGGAGTTCTTCAGGGCAGAGTAGGTGGCCGCCATCGCACCCTGTGCATAAACAGCAACGTGGTGATTGTGTCCAAAAATAACCATTGTAACTATCCAGAATTTGGGTATAGGATAGGCTGATAACCAGAAAACATTTTCGATGTTATTGAGTAATTATTGGCTTTATTAAAACACAACCAAATTCCAATTTCCAATTTATTTTACCTTATTGTTCTCTGTCTACATCAGCTTTTTTTTTAATGCTTAACATAATGTGTGATGCATTTTAAAAAGTTCAAAATGTCTATAAAGTCTGAAAAGTGGAATTTTTAACTTTCAATCCAAATTCATATGACACCACTGTAACTCAAAAACCTTAACTGTTGTGACTGTATTACCTTGACCAGCTTGGGGTCCTGGTGAGGGAGCTGACTGTTGGGTAGTTTGTCTCTCTGAACAATCCAGGGGTGCTTGAGGACCTGCCTAGCAGTCAGCCTCTGATGAGGATCCACATGAAGCATCTTGGACACAAGGTCCTAAAGGGAACACACATTGAATATGAACGGTGCAAAGGGACAGGAGGGGGAGACTGTGGTAATCTCTGAGGAATGGGAGAAAGAAAGAGCCGTTAGTCAGGTGTTCGAGCTCTACCTTGGCCGCATCAGACACAGTGTCCCAGTCGCCACCGGTCAGGCTGAAGTGACCGTTGCCTATCCTGTTCAGGATCTCATTGGGGGTGTCCTCGGGTCCGTTGGCAAATGGAGTAAAACTGGCGACAGAAAAGTAGACAGATGATAGAGTGAATGTGACGGGCAGTGAGAGATAGAAATCGGTTTCAGACGAGAGTTTGAGTGTTTCTATTTACCCGGCCAGCATGGTGTACAGTAAGACTCCCAGACTCCAGATGTCACATCCTTCATCATAACCCTGACGCTTCAACACCTTTAATATAGTCAGAGATAGTCGCACATTTTATTTCAGTGTCTGACACTGTCATGTTTCAATTCATCAGTCACGGTTTTCAGTTTAAACTAGAGACAGTTCCTTCAGCCTTAAGAGTACAAGACTGACTGCATGAGACCGGCTCACCTCAGGTGCCACAAAGTTAGCAGTGTAGCACGGGGTCATCAGCAGGCCGTTGTTGGCACGCAGCTGCTTAGCAAAGCCGAAGTCACAGATCCTGATTGACTCTGGATTTCCTGACTCGTCAACATAGAGGATGTTGCTGGGCTTCAGGTCTCTGTGCACCACCTGGAGAACAAGAGCGCACAGGAGGGAAGAATAAAATGAGGAATTTTTTTTTTCTTTTTTAAACAGGAGCACATAAAGTTACCAGATTTTATGCCCACATGCACCTAAACGTTGTGTTTGCTGCTGTGAAAACATTGTGACACTGTGGTTTACAGGATCTGAGGTCCACAGTTTAGAAATCTTCATGTAATAAAAAGGTAAAGAGCAAAATGGGAAGTATACTATATGCACCTCCAAGCAAAAAAACAAATCAAAAAAACAAATCATTATTTTTTTTAAATGATGCATTGCAAATTGTATTTCTTAAAATCTGTTTTTGATTCTGATTTTTGTATATTTACTTTTTCAACCTGATGCTTACTCATTTTTTAATGCTCAAATTGAAGATCGACACATGTTTTATAACATGATTTTTTTTAAATAAAAAGGAAACAAATCCAAGACACTAAAGAGGTGTTTCAGTCAGGAACCTGGATAAATCAGCCAAGCGCAAACTGAACTCCAACAAAGTGAAACTTCCTGTGATTAATAAGTTCATCAGTCACCATCAATAAGGAATAAGGGACTCAGGAGTAAGGAGCTAGTGCTGGTGGTCCTCACCCCCTGTGAGTGCAGGTACTCTACAGTCCTGGTGATGGTGTGAAGCACAGCGCTGGCCTCTCTCTCCGAGAAGAACTTCTGTTTGAGGATCCGATCCAGCAGCTCGCCGCCGCGCATCAGCTCGGTCACCAGGAACACCTGCTTACCGTTATCGTACACCTGAGACGGAAACACACACACACACACACACACACACACATTATCACATTATCACATCACCAACTGTGACGTTCAGTGCACTTAACACCCGAGGCAAACAATAGTGTGATGAAAAATGTGCGTTTTTATACTCACATCCTTCAGTGTTATGATGTTGGGGTGCTGCCCATATCTAAGTAGAATCTCTATCTCCTCAGAGGGGTCTGTACTGGTCTTGTCAATCATCTGTCAATCACAAGTCACAGTCACACCAAGCTCTCATTTTAACAAATAAAGTATATCTAAAATGATTTAGCATCTGTCCTTGAGCGGTATGCCAAAATTGCTGAAATAACAGTCAGAGCAGTTATTGTTCTGTGTAGTTTGTATGCGTAGCGTGTGTTGCTACCTTGACAGCATATTCTGTGTTGGTGGCCTTGTGGATACATCGTTTACAGACAGAGAAGGAGCCCATGCCGATATCTTCCTTCAATACGTAGCCGTCGCTGAACAGCAGGTTCTTCCCGTGTAACTGCTGCAGAGGAAGATTTGAAATTTGAAGAGAGTCCGTGAGTGGGGAGGCGTGACGGACTGACAGAGCCGACAAGCCGGAGGAATGCTGAAGGTTTTTCGGGAGGCAGTTGAATCCATTTCTAGAAACATTTTCTGTCTCTCCCTCTCTCTCTCTCTGGTTGTAAAAACTGTCTCAGTCTACCACGTGCAGCTAATTCCTGCTCCTGCCAGGCGTCAAACAGGATCTGATGCCACGTCATTCCCTTATTCTTCCTCTCTGCCTCACACACACCTTACACATATCTGCATATGCCTGTCTTTCCCTCCTCCATCCCGTCATCACCCGCGAGAACCGACACGACAACTGCTATATAACAACACGCTGTGCTGTGTGTGAACAGTTACACTGCTACAGTTAGCTGCAGTCTGACCTGGACCACTGGATGTGGTGGAGGCTGCACTGGCTCCACTGAGCCTTCCTCTTCCAACAGAGTCGACGCGATGAAACTGAAGCCTCTGAAGAGCTGGTGAGCTCCGGCACTCGGCGGCACGCCAGGAGAATCTGTAATATAATAATGCAAGGTCACGTGTTGAAAAAGAGAGACAAAGAAGCCACAATAAACCACACTTTCAAACTAGGTATTTTTTAACAAGCACTGTTATAATTAAGTGTTACTGCGTTTTATTTTTGTTGCCACCAGTCATTAATTAATTGTGTCTCCTTTAAATAAACATAATCCTGTATTGATTTGTTTTTTCAGCTTCCACTGAACTGCTTTCAGGGAGGAAAAACCTGACAGGAAATAGACAGAGTCATTTCATAAATCAGCACAGTCAAACTCTCAGCTTTGACCTCTGACCTTTAGGGGTGCGGGAGGTGAACTCAGAGTCAAAGTAGAAAGTATCGTCCGGACGCGCCACTGCTGGTCTGAATGGAGGCTTGACTTCTCTCCTGAAGAGTTTCTGAAAGGAATAAAAGACCTTCACTCACACCATACAGGTGAGCACAGAGTACCACGGCTGCTCTAAATGAAAAGCCTCTCATTTTATTTTTCACTGTGCATATATTCAAATATTATTAACAGTCACACACTCACATTCCAGTCTATGGTGGAGAAGAAACCGTGTCGTTTGATCTCCTCTGCACCGTCGGCGCCAGATCCTGTGAGCGAAACATCCGCATTTAGCAGCATGAATCTCAACCAAAGACCAAACACAGGGCCGGTCTCAACCCTTCATCCACGAAACTGTGTCAGACAAGCATATATGCTGCCATCTGTGACAGTCATGTTCATGATCTGATACTAACCCAGTCTGTTGGCAGGGTTTCTCTTGAACAAAGCCCGAAGCAGAGACTGGGCCTCTGCACTCAGGAACTGAGGCATTCCCAGACGTGCCCTGCAGGGAGAGACAGACGACACCCAGCTTAAATTATTTCACCAGAAATCAAGTGAGCGTTTTTTTTTTTTTTTTATCAATAGCTACTGCATGCAACAACGGACTTCTGTGTCAGATTCTCCTTCCATCCAGAGGACACTCACTTCAGAATGAGGTTCATAGTTTCTTTGCGGTCCTTCCCTTGAAATGGCAGCGCTCCTGTCAACATCTCAAACTGGGAGAGAGGACACACAACAAGCATTTACAATCTAAGACACAATAATCATTTACTACTCTTGTCTTAAAAGCAATGTAAAAGGCAAAAAGATGATTTATTTTTTATTTATTTATTTATTTATTTTTACCATTAGTACTCCAAATGACCACCAGTCAGCGCTGTGGATGTGTCCCTGCCTGTTGACGACCTCTGGTGCCATGTACTCCACGGTTCCACAGAAGGAATAAGCTTTCTTCTCATGATCAATGGCTTCTTTACACAAACCAAAATCTGAAGAAATACAGAAGGTGCAGTCAGTGCACCACGACACAGCATCAGAATATAGCATCCTACAATACTGTACTACTTTATTCTGTCAATCTGAATCTGTGTCTTAATATTGGAGCTGAGTAACGGGCTTCTTTTGACTCTTATGTAACAGCACAGTTCATATTTTCAATTACCAACATGATGAAGTGAATAAAAGATCCCAGACATTAATCTGCAAAGCAAAGGCAGCTTTAAGATAAATCTCATATTTCATCTTACAACACTTTATCTTTGTCTGTGTTTGTCCCTCGGAGGCTTCATCAGTATTACTTGTTATATTGCCTCCCTAAAGCGTCCTAAGGTCACCTTTGCTTCGATGGCGACAGGACCCGGAGTAAATAAATGGCCATGATTATGGACAATGATAAGATAAAGTGTAATAATTAACCTGGGGAACACATACAGGCCAATATGCAGATATCGTGAGTCAGCGAGATAAAGCTGTCAGCGCATGGTGAGTAATTACGGTCGAGAAGGTTGCTGAGAAGAAAGTGTGTGTGCCTGGTAGAGAGACTGGGTGTAAAAGTAGGAGCAGGAGCCTCACCTGTGAGTTTGATGTGGCCCTCCTCATCCAGGAGAATGCTGAAAGAAAACATTGTCAAATGTAAGAAAAATGAACCTCTAAGAAGGTTTGAACATTTCATCACACACTGCAGACACTCGTACCAATTAACACTCAACTTCCCTTTATCTGTGGCTTTGCTCTGCTGTAGTCTGGCTTATCGCAAAATATAATAACCACATTTACAACTTAAAGGGACTCTTGCTGACTTTTTGGATCACCAGCAGCACTGTGGAGTAATGACTGAAAAATCCATCTGTATGGTGTTGTGTGCACATTCACGCCACAAGCACGTGGGAACAGCAGAGCTTGGCGAATGAACATCAACAGCCGGCGGCACTAATGTACCGTAAAAAAGCAGCAATTAAAATGGAGAAAAGAAGACGGCAAGTGGATGTAAAACAATGAATGGTTCAATACTTAAAAAGGATTTGCAAATGTTCAGTGAGGTAGGTTTGCATTCATAATGTTTGTTAGTGCTTAAAAGACACACACACACACACACACACACACACACACACACACACACACACACACACACACACACACACACACACACACACACACATTGTGGTGAGGAATGATAGTTCTGCATGTTTAAAGAGCAAACTGGAAAATTCCACCAGGTGCCTTTAAAGTATCTATCACAGAGTAAATAGGTTTGGATATAATACTAAGCATTGAATAAATGGTTCACTGTTTGTCCAGGTTCTTGGCTGTTGCATCATTTATTAGATTACTCCAAATAAAAGCCTCTTCAGAGAGCACTGCAGCAGGAATAAAAGCTTTTCCATAAAGATTACAAGAACACACACGGCTGACGTATTATTCCAGTTGGGGATTGATTCTCCTGAGATTTGATTTTGCAAATGTAAAAAACTATATAATCTCTGAGGAATTCTCTCTGATGCTCGGTGCCGTTTTAACATATTTACTGGGTTAATTGAAAGGTCAGCGGTGCTGTCGTATGTCACGTGACTCCGGCAGATCCAGATATCCATTGTTCATCAAATATGCATTTGGTTTGTGTATGATTCCTTTTCTGTTGCAGTCTCTTACTTTTCAGGTTTAAGGTCTCTATAAATGATGCCCAGGCTGTGGAGGTGGTCCAGTCCTAATGCCAGCTCTGCCAGATAAAACTTCACATCCTCCTCTGTGAACATCACCTGGGAGACGCACATGCACGCACGCACGTACGCACACACACACAAACACAGCATGACAGTGAAAAAGAATAACACCATTAGAGCCAGAGAAAAATTGGATAAATATTTAATACCAAGTAAGATATATACTGTAAGTGGACTGAAGGAAATAAAGTCTGGTCAGCAAAACATCAGGATCTAATCACTCTCACCTCTTTAGAGAGTCTGGTGAAGAGATCTCCTCCTCTGAGGAAGTCCAGGATCAAGTACAACTTCCCTTCAGTTTGGAAAGCTACAAACACACACAACTTTCATTCAAATTGGATTCAACTGTAAGTCAGAAAACATGAATGAAGAAAATCCTCTCCAACAAATCCAATAAAATGTTTTCTAGCTTTGGGAAGTAAAGAGAAATAAAGCTCCAGGCTGACTCACCATAGTGCAGTTTGACAACAAATGGGTGGTTGACATCTGCCAGGATGTCTCTCTCCATCTTGGTCCTCACACGGTCTCTCACTAAAGGGTGAGTAAGAACACAGAGTTTAGTGTGTGTGTGTGTATAAACCTTTAACACTAACAGTATAACTTGAACTGTAACCCACAGTTGTCTATAGTCAAGTAGACAGCGATTCATTGTCGTATACATGTTGATGAGTCGTCAGCAGGAGAATGATTTTGTTGACTACGCTCTGTTGTAAGTGAACGTGAGTAAAGTGAATCCAGTCGTATATTCCTACACCACAGCTCACTAAATGCTCATGTCAGAATTTAAAGATGCAAATAAAATCTGCACATTTGAGACTAACCACATGGATTTGGGGGGGCTATGTGAACAAATGCATTGATGTTTTTTGAGAAGAATGACAACATCATCCAGATGCAAAGATGAAAAACCCACATCAAGCGGTGGGTGGTCTCACTATACCAACATGTTACTGTGTGTAGTTCCCTTTGAGTTACAGGAAAAGCATACAGTCATTTACGTGAAACTGTGAGGGTCCTGCCACCTGAAGATGAGCCGAGTAAAAGAGAAAGTTTTTTGAAAATCACCCTACATGAACTCAGAGCTGAGAAAAACAGCTCTACAAAAGGCAATAAATACACGGCTCTAACGAATGATTATTGTCATCATCCATTTATGTGGATTTGCTGGAAATTGCTTATTTTGTCTGACCAACTGCCTTGAACCCAAAAACGTTTTTAAAATTTGCACAGATGTAAAATCAGAGAGAGGCAGCAAATTCTCACATTACAGATGCTGGAACCTGTGATTCATGCAGTGATGAGGGAACACTGATCTGGGAACATCTGCTTCCCCCTACAAGAAGATGTGTGAGAGCTACTCTCCTGCACCTGGTGATCGGTTCAGATGGGGTTCACCACAGTTGGGGGGAGGGGGGGGGGGGTTATGAAAATTCAAACCTTTCAGTTATGGGAACCTTTTGTGAGGACAAAGACTTTTAAACTGTGCCACTGTGAGGACACCATTCAGTCACCTCACATGCGACTGTACCTTTGAGTGTGGCCTTCTTGAGGACCTTCATGGCGTAGAGTTGGTTGGCATCTGGAGGGGTCACCTTTCGTACCAGGAACACCTGCAATATGTACAAAAAAAAAAAAACACACACACACCACGAAACCCTGTTATATCAGATGAAGGTTTGAGAGTGTGAAAGCGCAAAAGAGGGAGAAAAACGAGCAGAGGGAGCAGCAGAAAGAGAAGCTGTGAGTTATGTGCGTTACCTTGCCAAAGGATCCCTGTCCCAAAACTTTGAGCAGCTCAAACTGAGAGGCATCAGCCTTCTCTGAGCCCTCTTTGACCACATGGGTAATGTTGATCTCCTTGATGTCTCCATCTTCCTGAAGTGTACAAAACAGAGGGGAAAAGAATATAAAGGCAGTCAGTGAACACTGAACAAATGGGTAAAACAATAAGGACACTGTGTGATTGTAAAGACTGTGCGAAGGACAGAAGATATCAGAGAGCACAGTTGTGTCATAGGAGTGTCTCCTGCTGTAAATAGCGGTACATCAAAATAAAACGCTCAGAAAGAGGAAGCAGAGCAAAGAGAGACGTGTGTGTGTGTAAGAATGAACGATTACACTCAGTGGGTACAGTGTGTGTGTGTTTTTTTTTTTTTTTTTTAAAGAGGTTTCTGGAAGTGATGATGACTGCAACATAAAATAGAAGTAAATGACTGTGACACTTGCACACTTGTTTTAAAAAAAAAAAAAAAAAAAAAAAAAAAAAAATGCAATGCAGAACAACGGTTCATTTTATTTGTTGTTTTTGGACTTTTGGACATAAAAGTTGTTTAACCTCATTTTGCCTCTTTGCTCTGAGACTTTTGGGTGGAGCACTGTTGGCACTGGTGAGAACTCCACCACATGAACGCTGCCGAGTCTGACCTGGTGTCAACCTAACCGAAACTCATCAACACCCTACAGAGCCGTATCAAAGCATCAACATCAATAACAACAACAACAACAAGTCGCTTTTCTAGAGACCAAGACTCACTTCTTCTGTGCTTATAATCTCCCGAGTTTCACACCACAGATCTACACCGAGGCACAGTACTATGGTTACACTGTAGGTTGCATTTTTAATTTAACTTTGCAGTTGGTGGGAAACAAATTTTTTTTCAGCTTTTAAACCAGGAAGTTCACAGCTCCTTCCAGAGTTTCATGTGAAAAATTTGGGCCTGGAAAGTAGGACATCTTTCAATTTAGCCAATTATCATGTGCACCTAATTATAGACAGTACATTTTAATCTATGGGCTTGATGCTCAGTGCAACTGACACAGTAGAGTTGAAATATCAAAATTGATTTTTTTTTTCTTTTTACAAACTTCACCGTAAACAGTCGTATACGGCATTTTTCAAATAAAAACACCACAAATATGAAGCTGTGTTCTTTTTTTTTAATTTGAGATCAAACTATTATTTGATTAATCAGTTATTGGGTTAATTTGTTCGTTAATTAAAAACTAATTTTTATGATTCATCATTTAAGTTATTCATCAAGCAAAAAATGCCACATTCAGCTTCAACTTCCTGCTGTGAAAAGTCAGGAGGGGTATTTTGCACTATTTTCTGACACTGTAAATATGAACCAATGGATGAGATGAAGAAATAAATGATCAGATTAATGAAAAATAATCAGTAGATACAGCCCTTAAAAATGATTCTGTAAGACTGAGAGACTTATGAAAACACTGGCGACATGATAAAAGTTTCGACAATACACCATAAACCACTACAGCCTGGGACTTTATTTGACAACAGGAAACCAGAGTTGAACATGCAGGCTTTCAGCTGCACATTGTTTTTTAAAAACAACCACCAATAACAGCATGTAGCACAGCAAAGTCTTTGCAGTGATAATACAATTCCACTTCCCAGCTTAAAAACATCAAAACACCACTAACAGCTCCGTGGAGACTACTCAAATTTGATCAAGATGCCAACATGAGGAGGTGTCACTTTACCGTCCAGGGGTTCCTTGGTGCAGGTAAAGTGTCGCTGTTGTTGTCTGTCGCAGCTGGTGTTCTGCAGCTGTGACAAAGAGCAGGGCTGCCGGCCGACGCTTTGTTCTTTTTGGACAAGTAGAGGGTCAGAAAGTTCAACAGGCTGAACTTTCTCCTGTCCTTCTCCATCTCAGCATCTCTCAGACTGTTTTATCATCCTACCCATGTCCATAACAAGACAAACACCGTTCTACCTCACATAAATCACCTTAAACCTCACCTCATCTCGCCACGAGCACCCTTTAGACTCATCTGTGCACCCATGTTAGGATTAGTTCTGTGAACCGCAGGTTAATATAGAAAAAATAAATCTCTCACCCTCTGCCCTTTATCTATTCTCTCTGCAGGGGCCTCCTGCTATATTTTTTAATAACTCTTCATCTTCATTTTCTCTTCCATTATCGCTGTTGTCCTCCCTCTGTCTTCCTCCTCTCTCTCTCTCTGTCTCTCTCTCTCTCTCTCTCTCTTCTCTCTCTCTCTCTCTGTCTGTGTTGGTCTGATTAGCCTGGTGTGTCCTCAGCGACTGACTGCATCTGAAGTGAACTGGAACCAAAGCATGCAGGAAGAGCCTGCTCTTATTCTCACAGTCCTGCACCCAGCCAGCCACACACACACACACACACACTTGCGGCAGAGAGAGCAAGAGAGTGAGAGAGCGAAAGCGAGAGCGAGAGCAGGAGAGAGAGAGAGAGAGAGAGGGGGAGAGAGGGGTGGGGGGGAGAATGAAACAACAACAACAACAACAACAAAAGAAATAGTGGTGGAAATTGATTTTTTCTCTGCTCCCATGATTGAAAATAACACAGCTACCACAACTACCTTGACTCCAAAACCCAACTCTGTGCAACTTCCCTTTACCCACAATTCAACAGAGTGAGAAGCTGGAGGAAGGGGGGAGGCTGAGGTGACGATTCAGACATCTCACTGCCTGCGGATGACAGAGATTTTCCTGCCTCTGGCCAGGCATGTCCCTCTCTTCCCTCTCATAACAGTCTATTCCTGCCCATCCTGTCTCTTAAAAAAAGCCCTCACCACTCCTAAAGTGCCCTCTTACTCTTTTCCTTTCCTCCATCTCTCACTTTATTGCTCTCTACAAATACGTAAGACAGAATAGGCCATTGCACATCCATTTAAAACCAGAGCATGAGTCAACTTCTCTCTTGACCAAACTGTGGCATAATCGAGCTTTCAGCAGACGTAGCTTTCACCAACATTTCGTTGCACTGCATTGCACTCGAGCGAGGTTGTTTTTAGCCATTTTTTTTTTTTTTTTTTTTAAATTGCTGAATTAAATTTCCACGGATGAAAATGAAAAAAAAGTGCATTAGAGTGAAGTGGATAAAATGCAGACATGTTACCGTAAGCAACAGTAAAGCTGGGGTGTGTTTGCTCAGCGAGGAAGGAGCTGCAGACTGACCCGACATAAAGTAGCTGCACAAGTGGTCAGAGCTTACCTGGCCTCTAATATTGGCAAAGTCCCTCTCTATCCAGGTAATATGAGACTGGTGCTAGGAGGGGAGCATGGTTGTGTTAACATAGGTTACAGAGAACATACTGTATGTATTTACATTAAGAAAAATAAAAAAAGGTATCCTCCCCTACAGAAGTAGTGGACACAAATACACAATTATCCTCACAGGTACACCACGCGCACACACACACACACACACACACACACGCACGCACACACACACACGCACACGCACACACAGAGAGAGAGAGGGGAGGAGGGTAGAAAGGGGCATGATCGTGATCACACTAGTGACAGGAAACCTCTTTTCCCTCCTAGTTCTCACTTCCTCTTTTCTAGAACCGATCTCACTTCCTTCCTGCTCGATAACTCCAATACAGCAGCAGCGGGGAGCTGAGTTTACTTGCATGATTGCTGCTTAGCAAATTTTGAATTTCATATCTGACTGATCACACATGAAGGTGCCAGCAATTTCTAGAATTTGGAGCATCCAGAAATAAGCTGTGGTGTCATTTGAAGATACTGCACAGAGTCACTAGACTCCGGCAAACTGAAATGAGTCTACATATTGTTTCAACGTGTTAAGGCGGTTTTGGCTGAACAGTTTCAGTTTTATCGTGCGTGTATGACTATTTAGTGCAACAATGCATGGGGTGAACACTAGGGCATGAAATCACTGAGCACACAGAAATACAATGTGTGTCCCTCGATTACCAACAAAATCAGTCACACTTGTAGAATGAAAGGACAGAAGTTTGAGCTTCAACCTACCAGCAAAAACTAACTGTTTATGCTTTAGGGTCAGAGGAGGTGGACAATAAACATGTCCTCCTGCGTTTCCTCTCACTTCACAGCTGAGAAGATGGCAGCTCAGCTCCACATCCACCCTCACAGATGAAACCCCTTCCTCTCCTCCAAAAATATCACACCACACACACACACACACACACACACAGCTGCCTAAAGCTTTGGGCAAGTCTCCAGTCCCAATCACATCCACCACCCCGGTACACCACCGGCACTCACACATATATATACACACACACACACACACACACACACGCACACACACACACGCACACACATACACAAAGCACATAACTTCCCATCAAACACACATGAAAAAGTGGCCACTTGCCTGTCGCATGTGGGTTTTGGTGCGGAATAAGAACCTCCACATGTCTGTGTCCAGATATTTCCATGTCAATGATGCTGTTTGGTGTCAGAGAGAATGTCACCCTCGCTGTCTTACAAATACACAGCCGCTTTGTCTGAATTAGCTAATACTCAGTATGCAATACCACAATGACACGGACAAAATCTGCATGCTTACGCACACACACACACACACACACACACACACACACACAAAAATGGGAAGTGAAGTTATAAAAAATGGACACGAGCAGCAAACTTGTCGGGGATAGAGTCGAAGGAAAGGGCAGGAAGTGGCTCTTAAGAAGTGTTTTTCTCATTGGTAAAAAGAGGCAGAGACAGGGAGTGGTAGAGCGAGAGGGGAAGAGAGGGGAAAAGAGACTGTTACCGGAGCACAGAACAGTTCTCGACAAGTCTACAAACTCTGATGAGAGGTCAAACAAAGCAGAGATTCACTTTGCATATTTAAGCTCTGTGTGTGATGACACAAGTTTCTGTTTGCAGCCACAGGAGCTCCAGGAGACATGGAGGAGAATTAGTTTCACACTGATGCACCCAATGAAGAGAAAATGAAAATCCTGTATGAAGTCTGCAATTTGGACTAGAATCTCATCTGGCAAAACTCCAGCCAAACCTTGAACCACTACTGAACAATAAACCTTTCATGACAAGGCTCCTGAAAGTGCTTTCTTTTTTTATCAGATCA